GTCGCAACCATCCCTTGCAAGTAACGGGACGAAGTGCACACGCGCGCGCGTCGTCGCGTGCGCACGCCGAAATATTTGTAAAACCTTGGGTTTCGGTAGGATGTCAACCTGAGTTTCCCGAAGCATATAAAACTTATGGTTTTGCAACAGCAGTTGCCAAACAAATGCGCTCGCGCCTTTGCGAATTCGGAAAACCATACATTCCCAACAGTTTCATTACGTCTGCCAGACGGGCCTCTCGCGCCGCATGTCGGAATCATTCGAACCCCTTTGCACGCTTGCTGGGGGGGCGCGGTCCGTGTAAAATAATACAATGCGCACCATTCGCGCGTCGGCCGCGCGCGCATGTCGAACTCTTTCCAAAACCTGCATCACCGACGCGAAGACGCCGTCATCGTCGTCGGCGTGATCAGCATCGGCGCCGTCACTGGCCGTGCCGTCGCCGTTGTCATCATCTTCGCTAGCATCACTACGATCATCGTCGTGTCTATTGTTGTCGACGTTGCCATGATACCGCGCCCGCCCAAGTCGCCGACTCTTACTGAAATGCCAGCTGGGACGTGCCCACTGGTCAGCGCAGCCGCGGCCGCGTCGGTCGCGCCGAACTAGTTGGCCGCTGCGCGCGCCAGCATGCGCGGGCTAGCGCGGCCGCAAATGTGCACCAGTCAACTTCAAGCAGCCATCACAATCGTCGCCGCATGGGTTTTGCAGGCCAAGCAAGTTACGGGTGGGTGGGTGGGATGATTGCGCGAGCAGTGGAGTGGACAACCCAGTGCGTACAGAAATCTGTTCCACCACATACGTTGCACCATCGAGCTTGCACCACACACCTTGCATTATACACCGCGCAGCTTGGACCACATACATCACACATCATTGGTGCTGTTACACCCTGCGGCTTGCACCGCATACCACTTTCGTGCCTTAAGGAGCGTGCTCGGGTAGCCGAGGTTTCGCCTGGTGCCCGAACCAGGGATGGTTCGAGGATGCCTCGTGCGCTGGGTGGTCAGCCGAGGTGTCGCTTGGTGCCTGCCCGTGGGCGCCTTGATGTGCGCCTCGTTCGATGTGTGGGTCAGCCGAGTTGTCGCGTGTTGCCCGCCCGTGGGCGCCTCGTGAGCGCCTGGTAGGCGCTTCGTGCGTTGGGAATGTCGGCCGAGGATTCGCCTGGTACCCGCCCGCGGGCGCCTCGTGGGTGCCTCGTGCGTTGCGCGGATCAGCTGAGGCTTCGCTTTGTGCCCGCCCGTGGGCGCCAGTGCTTGCTTCGTTGGTGCCCCGTGCGTTGGGCGGCCGCGTAGCTCGCACCACCTAGCTTGTACCATTTACCATATTGACGTACACCTCCTCTATTAAAGCGCACATGTTACACCACATACATTGCACCACACACAGTTGGTGCGCGGTCAAGCCAACACCACGTAGCTTACACCCCGTGGTTTGCACCGCACAGCCCACACCCACACAACGTTGCTGGCATCAGGCAGCTTGCATCCCATAGCTTGCACCACATAGGTTGCATCACATCGGTTGCATCACATAGGTTACACCACGTAGTTTGCACCACATAGCCGACTTCCCCACTGTGCTAATCACGTGTTGTTCGGGGTCCACGTTGGCAACCATGACAAGGAGCGTGTGCAGTTTTGAATCTAGGGCGTTTGAGGGGACCTGAGCACACTCCTCTTCGTGACTCGCGGCACGGCGGCGGATAATGTCTTCGCTGGATCCGAACGTCATGACCTGTGGTGCTATGCCCAGAACACATGGACATGAGTTTGCAGTAGAAGAATGTAGGTTGCCGCCGAGGTGCACGTGGGAAGCGAAGTCGGAGCTAGTCGTGAAGAGGTTCGTCAAGACCGCCTATTGCACCTGGCTTGGAACCAGCCTTTCCGAACATGTGTTCCACCGCGGGAGACGCGTTTGTTCAGCGAGTGAGGGAGTCACGTCTTCCGACACACTACCAGAACGAGCGCTGCTATCAAGAGGGCGTTCGCAGCCGAAAGAATTGTTGTCCAGCGGAACACGAGAGTGCAGGAGGATCCATGACACCATTACTATGGGTTGAATGGTCGTTGGGGTGTCCAGCTGTCCCCCCTTGCCTATCGAACCGCGGGCAGGGGGCATTGTCAGCCGCTTCGTTAGAGATGTACCGTGTCGGGAGAAACAAAGCGCCCAACGAACAGAGCATGGCCAGGCGAGGCACGCATTGTCCTCCGAACGCTCTGACAACCGCCATACATTCTCCGAAGGGGACGAGATCACAATGCCAGGGTTGTACAGTTCCCCATGCCCACCCCCCCGCTTGCTTTAGGTTCTGCGTGGCTTGTCAGCAAGTGTTCGGGACAGCTTATCGCCACATTGCAGTTGAGAGCAACGTCGTTAAGTGTCAGTCCTGGGCTGGGGGGGCGCGGGTTGCTAGACGGAATTCTCGTAGGCGCTGTCGAAGTTAGGCCACGAGCGACGGATGTGTATTTCAACATTGTCCACGCGATGACAGGGTGCCTTTTGGGCACGTTGCCGGAGGTCTTGGAAGCATGAATGCTTTGGGGATTCCACGTGCAAAGGAGCGTGGTGGGTCTCACGACCGCGTTTGACGGACTTGGCGTTCTAGGAAATCCACGATCTGGGAAACGATATTGAAGTTTATACATGTGTATCACAGAAGCCTACGGCGAATCACCGCCGCCCCTTGCCTATTAGGATCAGGATACGCCGATGTGGTCCCAACGCTTGGGCAAAGTGCCGCCACGCTATTGAACCATGCGTTCCCCCAGCCGTTGTGGGAGCCATTCGGGGAACACGTGGGGGAGGACGTGGAGGATGAGGAGAGGGAGGAAAAAGGAGTGAGGAGAAGGATGAGGAGACTCTTCGGAGCTTCTTGGGTCATTCTTGGGGCCCCCTGGGAGCTTCCTAGCGGCCTCTTGGAGGCCTCTTGGCGCCCCCTTTGGTCTCTTGGGGCCTTTGGGGGGCCTTCGTGGGCCTCTTGGGGGCCCCTTTGGCTGTCTTGCGGCGTTCCTGGCCCTTCTGACGCTGTCGGAAGCCGTCTTGGGAGTCTCTCTGGGCTGGCTTGGGGCCCTCTTGGGGCGCTTCAGAGTCGTCTTGGAGCCTATTTTTGGCGTCCTGGAGGCCTCTTGGGCCGTCTTGGGACCCTTCGGGAGCCGTCTTGGGACCCTTTTGGGCCGTCATGGGGCCATCTTGGAGGCCTCTTGGGCAACCTTTGGGCAACCTTCGGGGCCTCTTGAACCGTCTTGGGCCATCGGATGCCCAGTTTGAAGCAGATGCCACAATCCTTGACACACCGATGGGAAATCAAAGATTTGGAATCTTCGGGCTTGGGACGTGTTAAACAGACACCTCTTGGGGGCCTTTTGGGTCGTCTTGGGCCATGTTGAGGCCACCTTGGGCCGTCTTGGGTACATCTTTTAGGGTCATGTTGGGCTATCTTGGGGCCATCTAGGTTGTCTTGGAGGAATATTAGAGCATCTTGGGGCCATGTTAGCCCTCTTGGAGGCCGACTTGAGCTGTACTGGGGTGTTGTTTTTTCTGGACGTTGAAGGTGTTTCCTACCCCTTCCGGATTGCCCGCGCAATGGACAATTTTTCACAAGGAATGAACACCCATCGGACGTTTCGCATGCCAGGCGCCCTTGTGATAAATCAACAAGGGGGCCGCGAATCTAATGTCTTGCAGCCCTTTCCGCCACCGTGCCTGGGCTGTGGGTCATAGGCCTCGAGGATGCTCGTTGTGATGTCGCGGAAGGCCTCTCGGGGGCTTCGTGGATGCAGTGTTGAGGCCTCTTGGGGGCAGTTTTTGATTGTTTTAGGGGCCTCCTGAGGGCTTTTTGGGGCCTTTGGGGGGCTTTTGGGTGGCCTCGTGTGGGCCTCTCAGGGCCTCCTGATGGCTTCCATGGGGCGGAAGACTTGGATTGTCTGTCCATGTGTCCCCTCTTGCTCTCCTTGGGGCTGTCGTTGGACATTCGTGTGCCGTCGTGGCCTCTTTTTGGGAGCCTCTTGGGCCGTCTTGGGGCGATCTTGGAGGCCTCTTGGCCCATCTTGGAGCGTCGGAAAGACGAAAATGCGAGAACGCCACAGTCATGGAACAACCTACATACGGGAAATCCATGATGTTGTCCTCTTGGGGACCTCTTGGGAAGGCTCATGTGCTTCTCTCAGGGCGTCTCGAAGGCTTTTTGGGGCTGTCTTGGGGCCATCTTGGGCGTTTCGGAGTGATCGTGTGGCGAATCGGGGCACCCTTGGACCGTCAGGGCGGCCTCCTAGGGCCCTCTTGACCCGTCTTGGGGTCCTCGTGGGCCCGAACAAATCATGCGACAAAACGCGACGCGCCCCACAGGGCACGCGGGAAGCTCCGGGAGATTGAGCGGAAATAACCTCAGCGTCGAGGACGGATGTTTACGGGATTGGGCCAAGGGTTTGAGGACATTCCAATTCGTGCATCAGGGCACGGTGGCGGAGATGTGTGTCGATATACATATAGGTGTATGCGTAGGCGCATCTATATGTTTAGATATATACATATATCTATATATGCATACAATTGTTCACATGTATGTGTAACATATCCACGCACGCATGTATATGTACGTGGCCCAGATCGGAAGCATATTCCTTCATAGGTGTTCGATGTTTGAGTTTTCAGTGATTTTCAATTGTTGGAAGCTTGTCGGTTTCGGCGAGGGTGCTGTTTGGCAAGTGTAGACTCGTTTTCGCAACAATCGCCATTTGCAGGACACTATCACTCGGTAAAAACACATGGCCCCTGCTTCTTCGTGTTCAGGATTGTTCGGATCGGCCCCAATATGACCACCGTGTCGCATGTTTTCAGTCTTACAAGCTTGCCGCGAAAATGGCGCCTGCCCGAAGGTTGGCTTGCAAGCGGAGGCTCTCACTGCATGAGACGCGCCATGCGTGTTTATTCTTGCCCCCGTTGTTCTCCCCGCTCTATCTCTTGCCGAAACCCACGGCGTCTAAGCAGCAGTCTTCCAGGAGTCAGACTTCGAGGAGGCCATCACGAGCGCAGTGTCTGGAGACATCGGCATCACAGACGGCGTCTCTGCGCTGGCAGACGGCCTCGAGGCGGGCATCAGGGCAGGAGCACGGCCGAGCGGTACGGTACCAGACTGAGTGTTTCCGAGTCGCTTTTCGACGGGGCGGCTTGGGCGCCCAGTGTGAGTGCGCCTCGGAGGGTTCCCAGGGAGCTCCACAGCAGTGCAAGGGAATGAGCCCACCGGCGGGAGTCCTAGATTGCGAGCTCTGGACAAGTTTGTATCGCTTCGGCCCCTCCTGCCGCTTTGCCCCCTCCCTGTTCCTCTTCCCCCTCGGCCCGAGTCCCGGGTTCTTTCAGATCTTGCCATCGTCGCTGCAGTGCCGGATTTTAACGCGCTGTCGTTCTCAGCATTCCTCCCCCTCCTCCCCAAATCGCGTGAGACAGAAACTTCCGTCCCTGATCCCATTCTGGCTCGCACCCAAGGCCCAAGGGAGGGGGGCGGGAGCGGATGGGAGAGCGCCTTCCGAGCTGGTGGGTGCCACGGTAGCCAAGGCGGGCCAAGTGCAGCTTCCTTCTGGCAAGTGAGCGACGCAGGAAAAGGGTTTGATTGCGCGGACACTTGCGTGTAAGCGTCCCGCGTAAGGTCGCGCGTATTCGCCCTCGTTTCGAATGTGGCGTGTCGCGCTGGCGGCCCGCGTAAGCCACTGCAAAAGGTCGCTATGCCATCTCGCGTGAGACCCGTTTCTGATCGTCGCTGCTCAAGTGTGAGACATAGTTCCAGCGACAACGGCATATTTGTCGTCGTGGTTTCGCGCACGTTGGTTGTCTCCCGTAGCTGTGCTACGAGCCCGTGCGTGCCGAGGGGTGCTCTGGCGCTTGCTTGGCCAGATGGTGCCGTCGGCAGAGATTGGCCGGTCCCCTGATTCCCGAGGATTTTTTTCTCTAGACGGGGCTCGACAGCTATTTCCCCCCGTGGAGGGTGGGACGCTCGGGAATAACAAAATGACGTCATGATTCCGGGGGGAGCCGTCCAAGGGCAGCCACATGTATGCGCTTGTGGGTTGCCCCAGGTGTCGTGGAACAAATTTCCTACTTGCGTACGCAAGCTTTGCCAGCGTGCCGGTACAGCAGCGCAGCAGGGAGCTTAAAGGTGCAGGTTTGGTTGAAGATTCTTTCAGTTCCCAATGGGATCTCAAGCTGGACAGCCCTGAAAGCTGGACACATTTAAATTCTTGATGATGTTCGCTTCTATTGGTTTCCTCGGGCCTTGGTGAATGCTTCTTTGTCAGCTTATCTGGGGGTTCTCTGATCTCTCGGGCTCTCTTGGGAACGTCTTGTAGCCTCGGGGGGGTCGTTGAGACGTCTTGAGCTAGTTTTCCAACACCTTGCCGTCGTCATGGAACGGATGCGGCTGAACACTCGACCTTGCGATGCTGTCGTCTGGAGTTTTAGCCCAAACTCGCAGTATCTGCCTGTCACAAGCTGCACACAACGAATAATGACTGTGTGCTTATGTTGGTTGTTGCTAAGCCTTACAAATGCAGCCACGCGAATCCCTCCTTCAAGTGGATGGGTTGCCCGACGCGCCCTTTATCCCAGGGTAGCGCCGAAGCTTGCAGATGTAGTGATGCAGGGTGCCACTGTTGAAGTTTAGGTGTCCAAGGCGGTCTCCATGAAATCTGGCCCTGAAGGGTATGGCCTCGCCAGAAGACGGCCTGCCGCTTAAGTTGTTGTGCCTGCCAGCGCCGCGGGACTTAGTAGTGACCCAATGCCGTTGGATGAGACATCGGTGCAAGCCTAATAAGAGGCATGCTTGGCGCGATGGTGGCTGCAAGGAAGCAGCACCAGGCTGGTCGAGGGCGAACAGAGCAACACGAGACGCGCGGTCCGTGTCAAAAGTTGCGCTGTGCTGTGCGTGGCATGCCGGGTGGGCGATGCCATGTGGGAACACATCAGGCAAGAGATGGTGAGTCGATGGTGTTCAGGGTTTTGTCTTTTGGGAGTGGGCGGCTCGTCCTTGTTGCCGAGCAAGGCTCGCGGCCTGCACCGACTGCATATGATCCAGAGCCGCTTCTCTGAATTACCATCCCGCACAGTGGCAGCTTTGGTTAGCAATATGTATACAAGTCGTTGTCCATCGTATCCTCCGTTTTTTTCCACCGTCCACTACCGTTAGCATCGCCGCGTCCAGTAGTAGTCGACATGCCAACCCGCAGTATCGGTCTCGCCCTCGTCGCCAGCCGCAGTCGAGGCAGTGGCTGCGCCAGTGGACAGCGGGGCTGGCGGCGCCAGCAGCGAGGCTTCGCAGGCTCACCCGCAGCGCCGCCCGGCTCTCCTTGGGAGAGGATGGTTTGTCTCGACGCTTCGCATATCCCCACCAGCCCCTTGCTCCTGGGCACCCCTTTGCGGCCTCTCGCCCTCCAGCGGAGAGCCGCTCCCCTCGGCCCGCCCTAGGCGTTGCCCCGTGGTCTCAGGTCCCCCTCCTCCACGGAGAGACCCGTACTGCTAGTTACGCTATTGCTGCGACGCACCTTGACCGCCCTGTCTGGATCAGCTCTGTCCACGCACACTTCGCGACTGTTAGTCCCGCCTTTTTTTCTGCCCACCGCTTACAGCCGATGTTCACTGCGACTGTCAGTCGATTCCCACCGACTCCCTTCCCCAGCACTCACTGCCTTCGTGCACTGCGGTCGCTTCCCACCAACCCCCTTCCCCCGCACTCACCGCTTACGTCCATCGCGACTGTCAGTCGCCTGCCTCTGACTCCCATACCCAGCAATGCGGCTGTCAGCCGCCGTCTCCCCCCCGATGCCGCGCCATGCCTCACAGCCGCTCCGGCCTCGTGCCTAATAACGCCCCACAAACGCCCTGTGGGGGTGCCGGCCCTCCCCTGGCGCCCCTGCTCGCTCACTCGGGCCTCTCGCGACGTTGCTCCCTCGGCGCCATGTCGCCCCTCTCAGCGTCCGCCCGCGCCGCCGCGGGACCCCTCAGCCCCCCCCGTCGTCTCCTGCTCGAGACCACCGGGCCGGCTGGGGCTTGGTTGCTGGGGCTGCGCGAGCCGCTTCCGCTTGCCCCGCTGTTCCTCGTCGCAGCCGCCGCAGACCACGCCACGCAGCTACCAGCACCACTTCGTTGCCGCCGGCTTCCCCCCCGAGCGACGACGATACTCAAGATTGTCGCAGTCGACGCCGGCGGCAACGCTCTGGCGCGCGAGGCCACAGGGTATCCCCTCGGCCCTTCGCGCCATGGCCAACGTCTTCGGAGAGTCCCTACGCTGCGTAGATAGGCTCTGCAGAGGAGGCACCCTCGCACTGCGTTGGTCTCTCACGGTTCCCCCCGCCGCCCCAGCCTCGTGCTTGAGGTCCCTGGGACTTTCCCGACCCTGGACGCCGGTCTGCGACTTTTTCCCTCTCCGCGGCCACTCAGGGCGCCCTGAGGATGGTCTGCATGCCCCTTCCATTCGGGGTGCCCCTGGGCCCTCGGGCCTGCGACTCGCCTGCGGTCGCCGCTCCCGCCCGCTCGGGGTCGACGGAATCTGGGTCCTCCCCCATGCCGCTTCCCCAGGGTCGACCTGCTCCCCTGGCTTGGCGCCGCCGCTTCCATTTCTGGACGTGGCCTTGTCCGCTGTCTCGTCGCCTTCGCCGCTATTGTGGTGTCTTGGCGTCGCTTCCTGCTCCCCCGCCGTGGTGGCGCTTCCGCCGACACGCTCTCCCTCTTGGCGATCTGGAACTCTTCCGTTGAGCGCCTGCACGCCCGTTCGTCGTGCTCGTGTACGTGGACTTCAAGAATTTCGCCATTTTGGTGGTGCACGTCGACCAGTGACCTCGCTAGTTCCCCCGTTTGAGCCGCAGCGTAGCTCGCTCCTGTGCGCTCTAGTGCGGGGTTTCGCCCGCTGTTCGTTAGCCGCGTTTCTTGACGGTGCCTGGCTTTCTCCTGCGCGTTCGCGAACAGAGAACGCATCTCAGCCAGCCCATCCAGAGCAATGCCCATAAGAGTTGACGGGGGGGAGAGGAAGAGACACTCATAGTCAAACGGCGAGGGAGGCCAGTCTGGACGGCGTGTCGGGGCCATCTTCGGGGCCCGCGCGAGGGGGGGTCGCGAAGAGGAGAAGGAGGAGGAGGAGGAGGAGGAGGAGGAGGAGGAGGAGGGAGGGAGGAGGCAAGAGGAGCAAGGCGAGGAGAAGGAGGGCGAGGATGAGGAGGACGCGGACAAAGAGAGTGAGTAGGAAAACTGAACGTGGGAGGAGAAGGAGGAGGACGAAACGGAACCTCTCGGAGCCTCTTGGGGCCTCATTGGAGCATCTTGGGGGCCATCTTGAGCCAGCTTGGGCTGTCTTGCGCCATCTTGGAGGTCATCTTGGGCTCTCTGAGGCCGCTCGGGGGCCTCCTGGGTGCCTCTCTTTTGCCTATTGGAAGCCTATTGGAGCCTCTTGGGGCGCTCTTGGAACCCTCGTGGGGGCCTCTTGGGAGCCCTGGGGTGGCCGCCTGAGGGCATCTTGGAGGCGGTCGGTCAAAAGATGGGGGCCACGATCCTCGTGAGGGGTGTCGAAAGTGTCCCTCCCAGGGGCGGAACAAGGACCCTCTGACACATCGGGCCCCGCTCCCAAACAAACATTATCCTGGCGAAGGACCCAACCATACGCAATTGTGAAAAACGCTTTGTGGGTGCCGCTTTCGGTGGGGCTCCTTATGGGGCCACGAAAGGCGTGCCACGAAACGTTGTCCTGGGCGTACGGGGCGCATGAGCTCGGTAGCACTGGGGCCTTCGGTGGAGCTCCTTATGGGGCCACGAAACGTGTGAGGGGTGTGCCGAAATGGGCGAGGCGCCGCCATGCCAACGCAGCCACTGGAACCCTTCGGTGGAGCTCCCTATGGGGCCACGAAACGTGTGAGGGGTGTGCCAAATTGGGTGCGGCGCCGTCATGCCAACGCAGCCACTGGGGCCTTCGGTGGAACTCCCTATGGGGCCACGAAGCGTGTGAGGGGTGTGCCAATTGGGCGCGGCGCCGCCATGCGAACGCAGCCACTGGGGCCTTCGGTGGAGCTCCCCATGGGGCCACGAAACGTGTGATGGGGTGTGCCAAATTGGGTGCGGCGCCGCCATGCGAACGCAGCCGCTGGGGCCTTCGGTGGAGCTCCCTATGGGGCCACGAAGCGTGTGAGGGGTGTGCCAATTGGGCGCGGCGCCGCCATGCGAACGCAGCCACTGGGAGCCTTCGGTGGAGCTCCCTATGGGGCCACGAAACGTGTGAGGGGTGTGCCAAATTGGGTGCGGCGCCGCCATGCGAACGCAGCCACTGGGGCCTTCGGTGGAGCTCCCTATGGGGCCACGAAACGTGTGAGGGGTGTGCCAAATTGGGTGCGGCGCCGCCATGCGAACGCAGCCACTGGGGCCCCCGGTGGAGCTCCCTATGGGGCCACGAAGCGTGTGAGGGGTGTGCCAAATTGGGTGCGGCGCCGCCATGCGAACGCAGCCACTGGGGCCTTCGGTGGAGCTCCCTATGGGGCCACGGAACGTGTGATGGGTGTGCCAAATTGGGTGCGGCGCCGCCATGCGAACGCAGCCACTGGGGCCTTCGGTGGAGCTTCCTATGGGACCACGAAGCGTGTGAGGGGTGTACGAAATTGGGCGCGGCGCCGCCATGCGAACGCAGCCGCTGGGGCCTTCGGTGGAGCTCCGTATGGGGCCACGAAGCGTGTGAGGGGTGTGCCAAATTGGGTGCGGCGCCGCCATGCGAACGCAGCCACTGGGGCCCTCGGTGGAGCTCCCTATGGGGCCACGAAACGCGTGAGGGGTGTGGCGTGATACTGGGAGGAGGGAGGAGGGAGGGGGGAGGAAGCGAAGGAGGAAGGGAGGAAGGAGAGGAGAGGAGAGGAGACGCGGGGCACCGTCTCTTCAAAACGAGGACCCAACACCACAAGAGGGTTGGGAACTAGGGAGGGGGGGGTCCTCTTCCCGAAGGGACGAGTGGTCGTGGAAGAGGAAAGAAACCCTCGTTAGACCACCTGTCGCCCAGAGGGCTGGTGGGATTTACGGGCTCCAAGGGTCTGCACCACAATTTCTTTGATGGGACAGGGAGGTGCGTATTGCCCTGGCACCCTAAAAATCGAGAGCTACTCGCTGCACCCAGCAGAGGGAAGGGTTGCAAGCACATCGTACTGTGGAAACCCAGCGGTCGTACGGGGCCGCTGGGGTGTGTAGCGAAACTATGTTGGTTTGGCGTCTCGCCTTCGTTGTTTGTTCGTGATCGTTCTTGCGATCTTCAAACGGTTTGCGAGCGACCCGTCAGTGATTTGTCTGCGGCCCGACACCTGCAAGCGACCTGCCCGTCACCCGTCTCCGATTCGCTTGTGTGTTCTGTCATTTTCGTTGGCATTTTCCAGATAATTCAATCTGGCCAGAATGGACGGGGTCGGAGGATCGCACCGCATTGCCCATGCATCGGCGAGATGCGGCGCGATCTGGTTCGCGATGTGTTCCTTCCCGACGTCGCCGATGAATCGGCGATGCGGCGTGATCCTCCGACCCCATACACTCTGGCCTGATGCGCGTGGCCTTCGCATGCATGCCCGTGGCATTCGAGTTATTACCTTCTACGCATGTGAGGTTGAGCTCAAACCTGAATGATGCACCCAGGTAGCTCCCTCCATCGCTCCCTCAGTTGCCTCCGCCATCATCTAGCAACGAACGATGTTCAATGCGCTGGTTTGTGTGAAGCACTGGTTCCGTTCGGTATTGAGTTCCCGTGAGATTGGGAGCTCATCTAGCAACATCGAACAATCAGTCGGCGAGTGGCCCATCCTTGATTTGAAGTCCAGCGAGGGCGAAAACGTGGTAGAAAGCAACACATGGGACGGCTGGAGCGAAGCGCACAGAGAACATCAGCCTGAATGCCTCTCCCCCCCCTACCCATAGCCGTTTTGGCTCAAGCGGTTCTGGCCCAAGCCATCGACACTGGCACTGCTCAGGCTGCGCGGCCTGCCGACCCAGGGGAAACAGCCATGGGACGCGTCATCCGGGGCTCCCGCAAGGGCAAGAGCCTCATCTTCACCGCCAAGACGCGCCTCCGAAAAGGCGCGGTGAAGCTCCGCTCCCAGGATTACGCCGAGCGCGCTGGATACATCAAGGGCCTCGTCAAGAACATCATCCATGACCCTGGCCGCGGCGCCCCGCTTGCCGAGGTCGTGTTCCACGACCAGTACCGGTACAAGCTGAACAAGGAGCTGATGGTCGCGGTGGAGGGGCTGCACACGGGCCAGTTCGTGTATTGTGGATCCAAGGCCCAGCTGGCCGTCGGCAACGTGATGCCCGTGGGCAAGATGCCGGAGGGCACCGTGGTCTCCATGTGCGAGGAGAAGGCGTCGGACCGCGGTAGGATCGCTCGGGCGTCTGGCACGTCTTGCATGGTGGTGGGGCACTCGGACGACAATCGCAAGACTCGCGTTCGCCTCCCCAGCGGCACGCGGAAGACCATCCCGTCCACTTGCCGCGCCATCGTGGGCATCGTGGCTGGCGGAGGCCGCATGGACAAGCCAGTGCTCAAGGCGGGCAACAATTTCCACAAGTACCGCGTGAAGCGCAATTCCTGGCCCAAGGTGCGTGGCTGCGCCATGAACCCCGTTGAGCACCCTCACGGCGGAGGCAACCACCAGCACGTCGGCCATCCCACCACCACCAGCCGGAACGCGCCCCCAGGCGCCAAGGTGGGGCTCATCGCTGCGCGCCGCACCGGTCTGCTCAAGGGCGGCAAGGGCAAGATGAACAAGTGAGCCGCCTTCGGTCGGGGCACCAGGCGCACGAGCAGCTCGGTCTCGAAACGTGGACGTGGAAAGAACATATTTTACCTCCCCCATCTCCCACCTCTCGGCGGCGAAATCTAAATCCTGCCCTCGCCGATCAACAATTCAGGCAACTCGATGGACAGCGGGGTTAAACTTCGGAATTCGTCGAGCGCGTGACGAGTTGCGAACCCTACTCCTGCCTCCCCTCGATTCAGGAGAGTCGATGGTTGGTGGGGGTAGGGTTCGGATGTCGCCACCTGCTCTGTACGTCACTCCGCAGGTCCCCGGCGGATGTCACACATGGCCAGAGTCTCGGACGACGATCCTCATCGAAGCTCGACCCTCGAACCGCGTCGCGCTGTCCATTCAACTGGGGATCCTTGGCTGCTGCTCTCCAACTTCGCCCCGCGCAGGCGCCCTGGCGGCTTCCCGCAGTCCCGCTCCGCGTCCTGGAGGCCCCTATGGAGCAGGAGGCGCGACCCCCCCACCGCGCCACGCTGCTTCGCCACGCGGCTTCCTCTCCTGCTCTCCCGCCCTGCTCTTCGGCGCCAGGAACGTGCCCACTGAGCCATGTTATGCTTGTCCACCGCGTAGTGGCAGATGGCAGCCCACACGCACCGTGCACGTCATCGTTTCAGCACCTGCCGCCTAGAGTGGTCTTCGGCCCATCCCGCCACCATGCCTGGGTTGTTGGCCTGGTGGATGTTCGTTTGGATATCGAGGGAGGCCACTCGGGGGCCTCTTGGATGCAGTTTTGATGCCTTTGGGGGGCCGTTTGGGGGCCTCTTTGTGGGCCTCTTAGGAGCCTCGTGGGTTGGGCTCTCTTGGGGGCATCTTTGGGCCTCTTGGGAGCTTTGGGGCGGAAGGCTAGACTTTCAGGTTCGTTTTCTCCGTGTTGGGCGCCTCTTGGGGCCGTCTTGAAGCCTCTTGGGCGATCTTGGGCGCCTCTTGGGCTGTTTTGGGCCCCTCTTGCACCGTCATGGGGCCCTATTGGGGGCCTCTTGGGCCGTCCTGGGGCGGTCTTGGGGGCCTATGGGGCCATCTTGGAGCGTCGGAAGCCCGAAACCGCGAGAACGCGAAACACATAGAACGGCATAAGGAACATCACTGATTTTTGCTTGTTTGGGCCCTCTTGAGGGTTCTCTTGGAGCGCTCTTGGGGCTTTTTGGGGGCCTCTTTGGTCGTCTGGATTGGGCGTCTTGGAGCGCTCTTGGGCTGTCGTGGAGGCATATTGGACCCCCTTGGTCACCGTCTTGGGGCCCTCTGGCCTTCTGGAAGAGTCATGCGAGGCAGCCCCGGGACGCCCAGGACACTTGGGAAATTTGGGAATCTCGGGCCCCAGCCTTCAGAAGATTATAATCCCAGAGTCCTGAGTACAAGAAACAGGACACATGAGGACCTGGAGAGAATTCAATTTCGCGCCTCGCGGAATGGTGGCGGGATACATATCTATATATATATATATATAGATACACATATGTATATGTCGCCCGGTTCCAAGGGTTCATTCTAAATATGACATGTGTTGTTCCCCAATCAGTGTTTGCATTGAAGGGGTCCTCGCGGATGCTGAAGGATTTGGCGAAAGTTTCCCGTCGATTTTGAAGGCTGGCTGGGTCCCCGGGTTCCTGGTCCTGAGTTCCCGGGTTCCCGGCTCCGGGTTTTGGGCCGATTTCGGAGGGCGGTGAGGTTCCGGGGTTCTTCGATCTTCTTATCGATCGGTCTCACCATCGATCTCATGACTCACTTCTCTATCGATCTCACCATCGATCTCACTATCTGTCTCACAAGCGATCTCACTAGAGATCGCATGGGCGATCTCGCGATCGATCTCACTGTCGATCTCATTGAATCGATTTCACTGCCGGTCTCACGATCGACCGTACAATCGTCCCCACTATCGATTCCATTATCGATCTCACAATCGATCTCAAGATCCACAGTTTTTACTGTTCAAATCATCCACTGATTTGGGTTTTCTCAATTGTATTTTTTCAACTGGTTCAAACTCCGCGTGTTGGACATCGCGAACTACCGAAACCCATCAACAACAACAACAAACTAGCAGGTTCTCAGTACCAATAACTCTGAAAGTCATAGTGTATATGGCCATCCGGCCGGTTCGGGTTGTTAGATTAGAACAGGTCTCCCGACCCGCCCACTCTGCATACCGCGGCTGCCTGATCCCCAGGTCCATCGAGTAGCCCCGAGTTTCGCGACTCGCGCCGACGGGTCCAGTCTGTTTGCTGCGGCCGCCAGATCCCAAGGTCCACCAAGTTTCCCCCCGAGTTTCCCGCCTTGCAAGTTCTATAGCACAGCACAGAGCATTGCATAACACGACACATCATAACATGGCAGTGCGCGGCATAACGTGTTATAGACTGACAGAACGTAGCATAGCATACCACCATAAGGTACGACCGAACGGATCATACTAGACAGAACATGGCACCACACCACATAACAGACCATGGCAGCGCATACCATACCATATCATGGCATTGTATAATTATCAGGCTGCACCATGTCATACCATAGCATGCCATAGCACAGCATCCCCTCACAGAACCTTACACGGCATGGCACAGAACACATCACAAACTAGTTTGTAGCATGATGATGCTGGAATAACATACAATACCATCGCACAGCACGACAATGCATGCCATGACAGAGCGGCGTATACCGAACATATGATAACCCCATATTCCCCAACATAACAGACCAGACCAAAACAGCGTCTGGTGCATCACATCGTAACACAACATACCATGGCATCACGCATCGTGACATGATTTAGCATCGCAGCATACATCAGTCCATACCATGACACATCCGAGCATGTCAGGGCGCGGCATTGCATATGTTTGCGTTCTACGATATAGTATAGCATAGCACCATAAGCTATGGCAGAATTGCGCGTGCAGACCATAGCGTTGCACAGCACCCTGTAACATAGCACAGCATATCATGCCATAACGCACCATTCCATACCAGAGCATACCATACCAGGGCATAGCAGAGCATGCGAGTTTAACAGCTTCACGTCGCACAACACCGCATAATGCGGCAACGCATGCCATGACAGAGCGCGGCTCAACACATTATACCATAGCGCAGCATCACATAGTAAACCACCATATCATAACCGAACATACCATAGCATGACACGCCATATCATAACATAGCGGGACACGTTGTCACACCATATGCAAACCATATCGGAATAACCATACTGTAGCATAGCCATTATCTGCCATGCATCAAAGGTTACATCTTGACCAGACATGACTTAACAAAGCAAGGAGGAACCATTCCTCGCAGTGGCATCACATGGCATAACGTAACGCTGAACCGCAGATCACAGCATGGTATAGCATAATAAGACATACCATACCTTACTTCGTCATACCATATTATATCGCAGCATCACATAACATACCATATCATGCCAGGGCAGAACAGAGCCTAACATAACGCACCATCGAACACAACAAAACATAACAACGCGCGCTGGCAGCAAAGACAACCGGGTTTCGCGCGCGTTGTTTCAGGAGGCGCGCGCGCCGCCGGGAACAACCACCGAATGTTCTTGTGGGTTCGGCGAAAAAAAACAGCTGCTTCAGCCTGTCAAGAGCCTAGAGTAGAACACGTTTGCAACAACGCCCGGGGCGTTTTCAAGATAGACTAAGTTTTAGTGGAGCAAGCGGTAAAATACACATAGTGTCGGGAATCACGCGCGGATTTCTTGGATCGGCGTTGGTACCCCTTGGCGACGCCTCTTGCGCCACCCTTGGCGTGATTCGCGCGCCAGGGAGGGGGGTCCAGCGCCGATCCAAGAAATCAGTGCGGACCTTCGAGAGCCCATGGCTATCCCATTATTTGTCTCTCGATCCTCTACAGACAGCAGGCTTCCCGATTCGCAGACTTCCCCCAGTCCGCGCGGAGTTCCCCAGTCGTCGCTGGACCCCCTTGTCCATTCCCAAGGAGACGCCTTTGGCGCCGCGCCCAGCGCGCCCCTCGCCCCCAGAGAGATGTCCGGCGCCGATCCAAGACATCCGCGCGGACTTACGAATGTTCATTTTGGTATTCTGAAAGTCCCTCTTGGCGAGTTATCGCCGCCGCCTGCCGTTTGAAAGCGCTTGTGATGTGAGACGTCCAGCGCAAGGTCGGCCAGCGGATAGCGTGTTCTCCAGCTATTGGGGAAAACGGTGGGGAGTATTGGGGAGGAGACCTCTGGGGCTGTCTTGGGGTTATCTGTGGGTTCGTTTCTGGTCTTTCGGCCTGCTACGGGGCCTCCTGGGGCTCGCTTTGGCCATGTTGGGGCTTTCTGAGGCAGTCTGAGGGCGCTCTTCGACCGGCGCCTTCCCAGGCAGTCGACACTTTTAGATTTATTGGCTGACGCCGCACCCTTTGGGGCGGCAACAAGAGTGAAAAACGGAGTTTGTGGAACGCGCGCGATTTTTGGGGAATCTTGGGTTTCAGTTTGAGGGATTTCGTCGGAGGCGGTTGGCGGATCGCAGCTCTGCTCTTGGGTTTCTCTAGGTTCTCTTGGCAGCACTTATCAGGCCTCTTGAGAGCCGTGTTGAGGCCTCTAGGGGCCTCTTTAGGGCCTTTCGGGGACCTCGTGGGAGCCTCTTGGGAGCCTCTTGGCGCCTCAGGTTTTCCGGGGCCGAGTGCTCGCAATGTCCATGCCCCTTTGGGCCTCCTTTTGGGACCGTCCTGGGGCCCTCCTGGGCCGTTTTGGAAGCTTTTGGGGCCGTCTTGGGGCCTTTTCGGGCCGTCTTGGAGCCTTCCTGGGGGCCTCTTGGGCTATCTTGGGTCGATCCTGAAGGCTTCTTGGGCCGTTGTGGGCCTCGTGAAAGCCCAAGAGGCGAATGTGCTAAACAAATATATTTCCCCTTGGGGATGGGACGATTTGTGCTTCTGGAGGGCCTCTTGGGACGCCTGTTCGTGATATCTTGGGGCGTCTTGGGGGCCTCTGGGGCCGTCTGGAGGCAATCTTGGGCGTCTGGGAGCGATCTCTCGGCGACTCGTAGCCCGCCTGAACCGTCCGGGGGGCCTTTTGGGACCCTGTTGGCACGTTCTGGGCCCCCCTGAGGCTCCAACGGTGCGGCCGGTACTTTCGCCCCCCCCCCACCCCACACCTTCAAAACCGGCCAGGCTGGGCTCTCGGGGGTGGGGGAGGGGTTTGGGGGGGGGGGGAAGCATCTCGCACGCCGTGACCCCAAGGGGTCGGCGGAATCAGGGGAGGGGGCAGGGGGAGCGATAAACCCCTCCCCGAAGGGGAAGAAGCGGGTTGGAAATGTGGTCCTTCTGACCCACCCTTTACGCAAGAGGGCTTATGGAGTTATTAGAACATCAGGATGGAGAGGCCGCGATTTGAGGGTCAGGTGAGATGAAGCGAGACGTAAAGAGCGGCCCGAAGGGGAGCAGGAAGACGAGTGGACGCCCACCATTGGGATGAATGGGCGTGGAAGCGATTTTATTGTGACCTGCCAGACCCATCGGACCTCCAACGACACGGTTGCCAAGTTGCCGTCCATCTTGAGGGTGAAGCCGACGATTGTCTCTGACGTTCTTGCCAACACGAGCACGTCATCGACGGATACCAAGAAGCCTAAGGTGCCGCGTTGCAGTGGGACGTAATAGGGCGCATTCGGAGCCAAGGATCGGTGGAGGGCAGGTGAGGACTATCCAGAGGTTTGCGTTGAGGAGCCGGGTCGGGTTGAGTGGTCGGTATTCCAAATTCTAGAATTCGAAAAGGGTGAATACGTCGAAGGCCCGCACCCGCAGGCCGATACGAGCAGTCTTGGCATTTGGTGCAGGGGTTGTTCAAGCCTCTGGTGTCGAAGCAGTTCGGCTCGGAAAGGTTTGCAAATCTGCCTTGGCTTCGACTGACATCCACTGCCAGTTTTTCCAGCCAGGTTGGCAGGTGTGAAGTGGATGTCTGCTTTTGGATTGAACGTCGATGTCGGGTGTGGGAGGGGTTGCGTCGCTGGGTATGCACGCGGGTTCATCGATACCAACCTTGCGGCGTGCCTCAATAAGCGGGAGAAGAGCGAGGACAACCGAATAGGAGAGCAATGGGAAAATGAGATGACGGGAAGATGCGATGTAAGGATGGGCGGGGTAGGGGGAGGAGAGGGGTCATGGGATATGGTGGTACATGACTGTTATTCCAGGTCTTTCAAATCAGGGTAGCCTAGGCCGCGCGCAGGGGCGTGAAGATAATTGCACCTTGCGGCCTTATCCAGAGAGCCGTCCTTCCCGAGGGTTTGGTGCGGGAGCGCGAAGTTAGCCGCCCACCGCGCAGCGCGCGGCGTTATGCGCGAAGTAGGTTTAGCACTGGCGGCGAGATGTGTTGGTTCCTTCGTATCGCAAGTGTGGGGTTTGTGTTGCTAGTTTCACGTGTCTGCCTCATTCCTCGCCCGCTTCCTTCGACCCTCACTCACAAGTAGAACCTAGATTCACTCGCACCTACATCCAGACTCACCCATGCTCAGACTCACTCGATCTCAAACCACCCATGCTCAGGCTTATTCACATCCAGACTCACTCGTACCCAAAATCACTCAGACACAATTGCTAGCATTCAGTCTACTCAAATTCAGTCTGGCTCATATGCAGATACGCTCATGGTCATGCCATGCATGAGTGCCGGCAATTATCATACTATTTTTTACTGATACTCGATCCTATTCAGATCAAGGGCGCTCAGATCCACCCACACGCAGACTCGTCCACACTTACTCAATTCAATGCCGATCGCCCACGCTAAGCTCCATTCATACTCGGCTCAATCATGCTCATACCCCATGCGCTCAGTATTCGCGCACCCTGAATATTTGCTATCAGACCCACTCATATGCATAATCACTCACACTCAGACGTACCGCGTTCTGTTATTCGTGTTTTGGACCCACGCATGCTCGCTCCTCGTGCTCAGACTCACTCATGTTCACCGCGATGTAGCAGGCGTAGCATGTGGGCACCCCGGGAGAAAGCCGCCAGGGGGTGTTACGGTGCTGTCCTTCTCGAGCCCCATGACCAAGTGTATCCCCAAGAGGGGGCCGCCAAAGGATAGGGCACTTACCGGGTCACGCCCAGATTGTGGGAATGTCCCCCACGAAACGTTGGTGTGTGGGAATGAGCGCCTACAGCTCATTGATTTGCAGTTGTGTCCTCCGACGTTTGCCTATGTGCTTGAACATACAGAGAGGGGTGCGACGTCCGTACCCATTTTGGCTCAAGCCGTACGTCCCTCACAGCCCCTCTCTGTCAATCCCAGTCACCTTCCAATCCATCCCACCTTCCCTCCGATATCCTGGCTGGCAGCTGCTGGCGGCCTTGGGACATTGCTCGGACGGGCTCGAGAAAGAGGCAGCATCTCTTCCTGAGCTGACATCGTGGGGAGACAGTGGTAGCGGAGCGTCGGTACGACCGGCGCTCAGTCGACTTTCTGCGGACCGATGCCAGCAGACGAGGAGGGTGCTGATAACCAATCTCGAGGATCCGATCATAGTGGCCAAGGGCCAGTGGCAACAGCTATTGGGACAGCGAGACGATGGGCTGACGAGGACGGACGCATCAGGCTCTCAGAAGAGCAACTACAAGGCCTGCTTGAGAGTGCACGACGATCTGAGCGGACTGCCGAGCAGCACCGCATCTCAAGCCCGCTTTCGGAAGCACAGCTGAAGCAGATCCTCACCTACGTGCGGAGCCAAGCTCAACAGCCTAGTCCAGAGCCAGAGGCGGACGAACGGCGAGCAGAGGGCAAAGCACACCAAGAGGACGAATGGCAGCGAGACGGTACGGACCCGTGGGCCAGGGACAGAGCCGCAGCCGGCTCAGTGTCTAGCAGGGCCCCCGAGCGAGCCGACCAAGATCGTTGGTGGCAGGGCCGCTGGAGCTGGAGTGAAGCCCAAAACGACGGCAACTGGAAGTGGGACGACTCCAAGGACGGCGGCTGGAGCTGGAAAGAAAGGGGTCGCGACTTCGCGGACCCCGAGCCATGGGCCGGATGGCCAGAATACAAGCTACGGCGACGAAAGATCATGAGGTGGCGCCAGAGCACAGACGTCGGCGAGACCAAGCACGCCGACCGCATCTTGAAGGCGCTGCCCATTGACCTCCAGAGGAAGCTAGAGGACATTCCAGACGAGGTTCTCATGTCGTGGGAAGGCGCTCAGAAGGTGATCGATCGTCTGGACCTCCTGAGCGGCGAGCGCGTTGAGGACGAGAAGCGCAAGGCCGCGAGGGGGCGCCTCTTCTCCTTCCCGAGACGGCAAGGCGAGGGTCTTACAGAGTACGCCGCGAGAATAGACCTGGCCTTCGACCGAGTCGGCACATTGGGCTTGCCGTGCCAGAAGACTGGAAGTTCATGTTCTTGGAAGAGGGCGTAGGACTCGACGAGCGTGGCCAGCAGCTGATGAAGTTTCTTATGGCCACGAAGGACTCGTATCCGGACGCTCTCAAGGCCATCCGAGAGATGGACGCGACGAGAAAGGAGCATCTTGCCCACCAGAGGGCACGAACATATCACACCGATCGAGGAGCCGCGTCGTCGTGGACATCACAATGGACGAACAATGAGCCCAGCTACTCCGTGGAGGACGACGAGGATGACTCGATGGTGGACTACGACGGCGTCTCGTCCCTCAACACTGAGGGAGAGAACGAGATAGAATTGGCCATTGAGAACCTGAACCTATACGACGACGAGCTTCCGGCGGTATTCGCCAGCATGCAGGAGGACAGACGGAAAACGTGGAAGCAGAACAGGGAGCTCAAGCGGAAAATGAAGGTCGATCGCAGGTTCTTCGACAGGACGAAGGAGACGGTCAAAGTGTCGACCTCGCGGGAGAACAGAGGCCATAGAGGAGCAGACGGCATTTTTCGTCAGAGAAAGACCAGGCTTCCGCTCCCAGAGCTCATCAAGAAGACCAGGTGCAGGAAGTGCAACGAGAAGGGCCACTGGGCGCGCGAATGTCCCAAGCGGAATGGCCAGAGTCTCAGTGCCAGTGCAACCGCAGGAGGGATCACGAACGCCACGGGCTTCGTCTTCGCGAACGTGTTGGATCCTGTCGCGTCGGAGACGGAGCAGAACGAGAGGGGCCAAGCCGCGCAGGCGATGGTGCTGCTCACGGTGGAGGCCGGCGAGGCAGTGGTGGATACCGCTGCCGGCCAGGGCCTGATTGGGGCCCAGGCGCTTGAGCGGCACTCTCAGAGGCTGAAAAAGCTAGGCCTGAAGATTCCTTTAGTAGAGCCTAGGAACAGGAATGCCAGAGGAGTAGGAGGTGGCACTAGGGTTTTGCACACGGCCCTGGTCCCGACCGGAATTCAGGGCAAAGAAGGTATAGTAGAGTTAGACGTTTTACAGGAAGACGTGCCCCCTCTGCTTGCAGTAGGCCTTCAGGAGATGCGAGGTTCCAAGATAGATCTCGACAGTAATGTTATGAGTTTAAAGCGCCTGGGCGTGGAGACTCCGATGAGGAGGATGCACAGCGGCCACAGGACGATTCGAATAGACGCGTTTCAATCCCCCCGGAGCTTCAGGTGTCCGGCCTCTCTGTTTCAGCAGCATCCAGGACTCAAAGAGAGCGATTCTCAGTGTGACAGCACTGTTGGGGCATACAAGACCTCGGTCATCGTCGATCCGACCTCTCACCTCTTCCACTTTTCCTCCTCTCAGAGGGCCGAATTACCCAGCTACGACGGTCTCCGGGAAAGGTTGGGGCTCGGTCTGGGGGTCTGTCTGGGTCCCGCGGCGATCTCGACACGCCGACAAGGGCCAGTGAGCCCGACATGGGCCCAGGGAATCGTTCCGAACACGACGTCGCTATGGGGCTTAGCCAGCCTGGATCATCAGCTAAGGGATACAGACACTCAGGGACGAGACAACGCCAGGGGAGATATCGCGACGACGCCTTCGGAGCGATGGTGAGCGGGACCCTCCCCCGGAAGAATCTCATCCACATGTGGGCGGTCACATTCATCACAGTATGTCTTATGCTACGGCGGTTCGGCTCGAGCTTTCGAGCTTCAGAGAGGAGCGAATTCTGCTCGCAGCCAGGACTACAGCCACGAAGCCTGTCGCGATTCAGAGATGCCCAGTGGCCCCCCAGTCGGCAGTGTCAATGCCGGCCAGCCGTCGGAGAGGAAGAAGAAGCAGCAGACCGAGGCTCAGCGTCGAGCTCAGCGGCCGCTGACTTTGGTCGACCACCTGATGGACCCGAGCTCCACGTGGACGTACGCGGTCACCGGGACGCAAGTCCCGTCCAGCCTGAACCGCAAGGAGAAGGGGTGGGCGGCCATCGTCGGCAGCATCGCGTTCTGGCTCAACAAGCTCGCCGACGAGTTTGGGCGCATGATGCTCGACAAGAGGTTCTGGCCCACGAACCTGATCAGGCGCTTGCGGGTGATCCCAGGCGCGTTCTACACGTGTCGACACTTGCCCACCAGCGTCGAGTACGGGTGCAATGGGCATGGACAGTGGTGGGTCTGTTCATCATGTACTATGCGGGTCGCCTACCGCGAGGTCAAGCCCGAGAAGGGAAAACCGAAGGTCGACGTTTCGTGCGTCTGCAAGCGCACGACGGCCGCGTGCACCTTGCGCGGCAAGG